ACCACTCCAGCCAACACTTGCTCTCCTCCTGATGAAGCCCATGGTTTGTTTTGTCTGCTGAGGACAAAACTCCCAGTTCTCAGAGCTAAAATGAAGCTCCAAACCCCACAAAAGGCAGCAGGGCCACTCTGCTGTGTCCATCCCTGCCTTGGTGTGGTTGGGAGTGAAATTGGGGTGGGTTGTGGAGCAGAGGAGCTCCAGCTCTGCTCTGAGCTGATTCTCTGAGGGTTAATTCCAGGTGACAGCACTTGGGTATTTCCCTGGAATTCCTTAAGCAAAGGCTGCTATCAGTCAAGAAATGCCTGTTGATGTCCCCAGATGAAGGACAGGAGGGCTCCCAAGGCCCAGAAGTATCTTGGCACTGTGAGCTGGTAATCCATGAAGTTTTTCACGTCTCTGCACAGAAATGTGTCGTTCTGGGGAATTTCTGGATGAACATGGGGTTAAATCCAAGGAATTGGTCATTGGCTGGAATCCCTGTGTGACAGTGGCAGGATTTCACTGGATGTCCTGACTCCAAGGGAGCCTTTCTGGGCAGTTCAGTGCTCACACTGCTGTGCCCTTCCCGTGACTGAGCAGCTTTCCAAATCTTTCTTCTCCCTGCAGACTACAGGAATCCGTTTGTGGAGATGTACTCGGAGCACCCTGACATCATCTACATCGTGGATGACAGGAAAACAGTGGTGATCCCCTGCCGGGTCACCTCACCAGACATCAAACCCAAGCTCACCCAGGTAAAAGATGGCTCCAGACAAGCTCAGTTCAAGGTCTGGGCTGCCAACAAAGTGGGGAAAACCACAAATTTAGATGCATAAAGCTGGGGAAGTTCCATAAAAAATAGCAAAGACACTGAAAATCCAGAAACATGAACCTGTTTGTGCAGTGTGTTACTGTTGAACTGGGTAAAAAGATTTTTTGGGGGATTGGGCTGAGTTTATCACATGGTTTTTTTTGATGTTGTGGCTTAGTGTTCCTCCATAAATTGGCAGAGGTAGATGACAAAGCACTATTTTCCTTCAAAATTCTTTGTGTAACACCCATTTCTCTCTGAAAGGTTCTCTTTGAACCTCCCTAGAACAACTGCCCATTTTTGCTCCATTTCATCAATTCAAACCAAGTTTCAGCCTTGGGAATAGATGGCTCCAGCATCCATCCCTTTGGCAGCAGCTACACCTGAATTCAAGGTTACAGCACAGTCTGTGCAGGCCAAGGCTGTTAGGGATAATAAAAATGGAAATTTAAGGTCTGGGCCCTGATCAGTCAATGGAGTCACTCATTTAAAGGCTTCAGAACTGCCCTCCAGAGTAGCCTGTCATGGAGTGAGGAGCAGGACAGACATCTCCTGGCTCCAATCCTGCATTTAAGATCAGGAATTCTGTGCCTTTCCATTCCCCTGCCAGTCTGACAGCTCACCTGGGAGATAGCACATGGAATCACAGGGACTGGGACAGGGCACCAGCTCCTGCTGGGACCCATGGAACATTCCCAGTAGAGGTGCAGAGGGACAGCAGGAGCTTTATTGCTTTGGAGATCTCCATTTTTAAATTTCATCAGCCAGGATTAAAGTGGGGAAGGAGGCTCCTCTCCAGTTTTCTTTCCAGTTTTCTTTCTCTTTAGGCTGGATAAGTGTTACCACCTTCCCTTCCAGTTTTCTTTCCAGTTTTCTTTCTCTTTAGGCTGGATAAGTGTTACCACCTTCCCTCCTAGGCTATAAAAATGAAACATCCCTGTCTGATTTGACACCAAATCCACCAAATTCATGGCTGGAGCAGTGCTGGCACCATCAGGGTGGCCTTGGAATTCCCATCTCCACATTTATTCCCTCATTGATGGACAGCCCTGCTCTTCTTGCTTCCCAGCCAAATTCCTGGTCATTTCTCCAAACACAAACTGCATCCCAGCTGCTGGAACGAAATCTCCACTGAAATCTCTCCCACAAAAAGTTGTTCCCAGAAGATTTCCTCCTCCAGGGCTGAGCAGCTGGGGCTCGGGGCAGGGAGGCAGAGGCTGGGCAGAGCTCCCAACAGCATCCCAAAGGGATGTGGCACCTTAGGAAGCTCCAGGATCCACCCGAGGATGGCACCACTGGCTTGGCCCCGGCTGGGAATCCCACTGATGCCTTGCAGTGGCTGCCTAGAACAGAGGCCAGGCAAAGTTAAGAGAATAAAATGGGGATTTATTAAAGGCCTTCAAACAGGTTCACCTTGGGCAGTCAGAAGCCTCTGGGGATCCACCCAACATGGATGATGGACACGAGTTTTTCAGACAATTATAAATTTAGTCCAGTTACATATCAGGGGTTAATCCTCCAATTACAGCTTCAGGTAATGAAGTCATATTCCCCCAGTTTGCTCCCTTCCAACTCACTTTTGTCGATACTTTTTGCTCCCTGAGGCAGTAGAGCAGACTCACATTTCAGGCCTAGAGGAATTGAGGCAGTAGAGCATCTGTGGATTTCAGGCCTAGAGGAATTGTTTTGTCTGACCAAAATGGGAAGAGAATTACCTGACACTCTGTATGGAGTTTGGAGTTCTACACTCATGCAGTGCAGGGATTGAAAGATAGAAAAGATGAAATCCTACGGCACCAGCAGAGCGCCGAGGCGGCGGCTCCCGCGCCAGGAGGAAACGGAGCAGGAGAGGGGCGGAGGTGAGCGTGGGGGAGGAGAGGTGAGCGAGGCCATCAGACTAATTTAGAACATCCTCTCCTTCCAAATTTAATCTCCAGGAGACAACTGGAGAGGGAGGACAACACATCAAAGGGAGGAAAGCCGCTGTGATTTCCTTCGAGCAGCATTGACGCTTTTTTTGTTTGATTGTTTAAATAGGTATTTGTGAATATTTGATGAAGATGTTTAATCTGTGTGTGGTGTTGAAAAAGGCCTCCTGAGCAGCGTTATTTTTCCTTCCCCCTTCCCCCAGGCGTTGGGGAGCAGAGCTGCCAAACCCTGAAGTTCAGCTTTATCACGTTTTATTATTCTTGTGGAAAATAGACTCTTTGCCACCGTAAATTAAGTTCCTTATGTTACCATTATACTTTAAAATCACTGCTCTCTCTTTAAACATGTTCAGGGACAGGTACCTCTTGCTTGTACTGAGCTGATCCCAGCTATCTCAAGGTATCATCTTTGTTATTAACAAACTCATGCTAAGACACACAACTCAGGCTTTTAATTTTGCGTAACGTGATTTTAATTCGGGGCAAAAAGAGCTTTTTCAGTCATGTCACATCTGTTTAGTCACTACTCTGGTTCAGTGTGCATTTGCCACTTCCAGCTTTGACCTTCATGAGTGCTAAAGCATGATTAAGCCTCAGGTTTTAGACCTCTTTCTGTAATTTTTCCTATTTTTCCTCACGGTTCTAAACAGAGACGCCACAGCTTGATTATTTCAAAAGCATTTACAAGAAATCCTCGTTTCCTACTGCTGTCAGAAGAGATGCTGCTCCAAAAGACAGCAGCTGTCTGGCTGTCCCCCTTTCCCATGCAGCATCACCAACTCCTCAGCCAGAATTCCTTTGGGTTTCCATGCTGGAATTGTAAGAATTGACCCAAACCAAGGCCACCCTGGTCACTCGTGTGTCCACTCGTGCAAGCTGTGTGGGACAGGAGGATTGTTTAAACTCAATCCAATTTCAGCTGCCCTGCCAAACCAGGGTCCTGACTGCTGGGACACAAACAGGAGCTGCACACAACAGGAATAGGAGCAAAACTGTTCCACTGGGGTGAAATTCCTGCTTTCAGCCCCCTGCTTAGCTCCCAAAGCTAAATCAGGCTCTCTCTGAAAAGGAAAACCTCCCCTCACCTCACCTTTGAGCAGCCAGGATATGAGGATGAGGAGGGAGAAGCACAAAGTCAAATAAAGTTAATTACCATGAGATAACTGCAGGCATACTGAGGTTTGCCCAAACCTTTCATTTTTTGGGCAGAAGTGATCTCAACACTCCCAAAGAGCATCCTCAGTCCTGAAGAGCCTCCTCCTGCTGGGAAAACCAGAGCTACCTGTGCAAACACCTGAAATGGCGAATTTCAGGGAGCTCTTTTAATTTTTTTTCATTTTAATTTTAATTTAGTTCTTTGGTACATTATGATCCAGGATTTTCAAAATTTTTGGAAAGTAAATTACATTCCCTCCAGCAAGTAGAGGATTTCCCTGTGTGTTAATAATAGCAATAAACTGATTATTCCCCCTGACAAAAGCCAAGCTGCTTGGCACTGCTGTTGTCCAGGGGTAGAAGAGGAGTTCACTCTCATTAAATGAATTTTTGCTCTAGTTTATTTTCCACATTTGCCTTTTCTATTCTCACTTCTTCCTCATAAGCAGAATTGAGAGTGTTTTTTCAAGAATCCCAGAAGATGATGAGTATTTTTGAATTTAGGACAACAAGTGCCTTAGTCCCTTTATTTCTGTGATTTACACTCCTAAGTCACCCAGGCTGCTTCCAAGGAAATCCATGGGGTGCTCTGAGAGTGTCTTCCCACTTTCTGTGGGATAGAGAGAAATTGGGGAGTGCCCACAGACCAGAGCTTGTAGATAACCACAGTCAGGTGAGTTAGTGAATAATTCTGATTTTGGGAGAGTCTCATATGTTTTTAAAGCACAATGAGGAAAATGGGAGGAAGCACCTCCAAACAGATCACCCCACAAAATTCATTTCAAGATGGGCATCATGATTTCCAGAGGATGGAAATGGGTCCCACACATGGGATCCTGAACTGGATCAACCCAAGTGTTGAGTTTAGACACTCCTGCCTTAGGGAGGGTTTTTGTGTTCCCTTGCAGTACCCTTCCTCTGCAGAGATCAGCTTCAAGATGTCCTGGGACCCCAAGAGAGGCTTTGTCATCCCCTCCCACTCCTTCGTGCCCTCTGGGATCCTCACATGCTCAGCCCACGTCAATGGCAGCGTCTTCAACTCCTACTACATGGCCCAGAGACTGGGTGAGTGCCCAGGGAGCTCCTCTGGGAGCTCCTGCCTGTCTTAGCCTCTCTTAGATTTGATAGATCTTCCTGGGCTGCATCTGTAGCAAGTCCAAGCTGGAATGTTAAAAGTAAACTCCTTTCTCCTTTTTTTTCCTCCCTATTCAATAGAACTTGGACTGGCGCCACTCCTGGTTTTGAAAAAAGACCAAGTGCTGAGGTGGTACAAAACAGGAGTGTTTTATTCAAACCCCACCAAGGCTTTGTTTGCTTGGATTGAGCTGTATTTACATTAAAACAACCGCTGGTTCAGGACAAAGCAAACAGCAGCTTTCTTTTTGCTTCTGGTCATTAACCACGTGTGATTGTCGTATAAAAACCTCACTACACTGCTAATTCACACCTTTGCTTTTTATAGATTTTCTCTTGGTGATTTACTACATAATTTCCCTTAGATTTACAGCTGAACTTCAGCTCATAATTAAAATCTGAATTTGAAGCAGCCAAACATTAAATTTTTGAGTGCTGGGCATTTATATGAAACCAATTAGAATTTATTTTTCTTTTGTTTTCCATGTATGTTCTTTATCCCCTCATATATCTTCTATTTACTTGGACTTCATTCCCATTAGCTCATGGCATCCTTCTTTACAATCAGCACTCAGCTTTGAACAACAGGCTTGGAAATTTGTGTGGCAGCCAAATAAAAGTCCTGTAAATCTCTCTTTTTCTCCCTTTTTTTTTTTTCCCTGCTTGGAGTAATTTTTTATTAAAATCATGAATTCAAACCTACAAAACCTCTTAGGACATCCCTGTGCAGCTCAAAAGGAGCCAGGAAATCCCTTTCTGTCGTGTGTTACCCTCACTGGTCAGGTGTGGTTTTGATACTGGGCACCAAAAACTGATGGAAGTTCAGAGCTGATGTATTGAAGGATTGATAAATGTGTAAGAGCAAGACTTGGGGATCCCATTCAAGGATTTGGGGATCCCATTTAGGGATTTGGGATGCCATTCAGGGATTGGGGGATCCCATTTAGGGATTGAGGGATCCCATTTAGGGATTGAGGGATCCCATTTGGAGACTGAGGGATCCCATTTATGGATTGAGGGATCCCATTTAGAGATTGAGGGATCCATTTGGGGATCCCATTCAAGGATTTGGGGATCCCATTCAGGGATTTGGGGATCACATTTAGGGATTGAGGGATCCCATTCAGGGATTGGGGGATCCCATTCAGGGATTGGGGGATCCCATTTAGGGATTGGGCAATCCCATTTAGGGATTGAGGAATCCCATTTAGGGATTGAGGGATCCCATTTGGGGATTGAGGGATCCCATTTGGGGATTGAGGGATCTTATTTGGGGATCCCATTCAAGGATCTGGGGATCCCATTTGGGGATTTGGGGATCACATTTAGGGATCTGGGGATCCCGTTTAGGGATTGAGGAATACCATTTAGGGATTGAGGATCCCATTTAGGGATTGAGGAATCCCATTTGGGGATTGAGGGATCCCATTTGGGGATCCCATTCAAGGATTTGGGGATCCCATTCAGGGACTGGGGGATCCCATTCAGGAAGGAAGGGGAGCTGGGCAGGAGAGGTCAGGAGAAACCGTCTCATGTCCAACCAGAGTGGATCCTCTCGTTCTGAGGCCCTCAAAAGGAGGAGTCAGCTTTGGGAACTCTTTTCTGTGGAGCTGATGAGAGGGTTGGAGCCGTGGCATGCAGAGGAGCGGCTGTTCCTGACTGTCCATGGGATCAGGGATCCACTGGGGGATCCCAGACTGCTGCAGGGAGTGCTGCTGGTCACAGCTTTGCCTCTTCCATTGCAGAGGGCAGGATACAGAACCTGGCTCTGAAGGCAAGTGCCAAAAAGCTGCTGGTTGGAGAAACTCTCAAGCTGGAGTGCAAAGCAGAGACCTTCATCAATGGGCGCATCGAGTTCGTCTGGACGTGTCCCCGTGGCACGGTGAGTGCATGGAATTCCTGAATTCCCCCTCCTCCCAAAATCCACAGGGCTGACAGAACCTAATTGTTACTTATTCTGAAATTATCCAACCATTTATAAACCTATCATGGATTGAACTTTGTGTTAGGATGAATCTAAAACTTCTCTGCCCTCCTTGAACCTGCAGATTAAACTGCAAATGTGACTAAATAAACCCTGGCAAGAGAAGCCAGGAGTGGTTCCTTCTTTTTGGGAAGAAAAACTCCTTCATTCCTTCTGTCCTGGCTGTCTCACAGTGACAAGCCTCAACTGCAGGTTGTAAGCTGTCAATCTCCCCATCTATTTTTTGGTATTTCTGAAGTAGGAAAAAGCAAAGGAAAACACAACTGAACCTGTGGAAATCATCCCCAAAGAATGAAATATCAATTCTGAGTCTTGAGCTTTCTGTGGATACAATACAGAAGTGCCAAAATTTGAAGTAGAAATAAATAAGAGACTGAACACTTGAGGTACCAAACCCTCTCACCTCTCCTGAAAGAAACAAATCAGAGTGGGATCATTTCCCAAATCAGTTCATTTGTCTGAGATTCCTCTCCTGGGTCTGTTTGGTGCTGAGAATTAAAATAATTGTTGATTTTTTTTTTCTTTCTAGTTCAGCAAAATACACATTGTAAAGAGGCATCTAAGCCTTTTGGGAAGGTGTAAAATGTGATTCCTAAAAACTGATTAATTTTGATTTGCTTCCTTTAAACAGAAAGAATGTCTGAGTTTGTTTCAGTGAGGAAATAACAGAAAATAGAATTATAGAGGTCCAAGCACAACAGTGTTACTGAATTTGGTTTCTTGAGCCCCATATGGTGGAAAAGATATGTTTTCCTATGAACTCTCCTCATATTTCTAACATTATAAATGTAAAACTTCTTGGCCAAATCTCTGGGATCAAAAATCCTATCGGAAGCGATAATGCTTTCTAAAATTCCCCAGGAATTTGTATTGGCACTTGGCTGTCATAATATATTACATTTCTGCCATAATATATTTCTTTAAGAAAGCAGGAGGTTTTTTATACAGAAAAAATACTGACTGTGAGCAAAATAAATTAAAAAACCCTCAAAACCAAACATTTGGAGCACAGCTCTGACCCTGCAGCAGTTTCACCCTGAGATCTTTGAGATCTGGTCCTGGAGAAGGGCTGGGATGCATCCCCTTGTTTACCTGCCCAGAATTCAGTACAAAGTTGCACATTTCCACTCTGCTTCTCTCTCTTATCTGACTTGATAATGAAACTTCACACAAGAGCTCTTCCTGCTGATCTGCCTTTTATATTATTTATTTCAGCCATGGGGAGATGTGATGGTTTTGATACAAATCCCTGCTTTCCTTTCCTGGCAGCCTTGGAAAGGCTGAACACAATAATCCAGTTTATGCTGCTTTTTGACTCTTTTTTGTGACTGCCAGCACCCTCACCCCAGGAGAACGATGGACCAGAGTGATGTGGTGTACAAAGTCGGCAGCAGCCTGGTAATTGAAAATGTCACCATGGAAGATGGGGGCCTGTACATCTGCAGGACATTCAATGCCACCAGGCTGGAGGCCAATGTCACTGTCACCGTGTATGGTGAGTGCTGCAGCCAAAGCAGGGTGGACCAGGAGGATAATGCCAGGCTGTAAAATCTGATTGAAATGAAATTAGGGAGGAATTCAACCATTAATCATCTTTAACCTCTAATTAGTCAACGAGAGTCAGCTCCCATGTCTTCAAAGAAATTCAAGAGGTGCATTTAGATGGGATATTGGGAAGGAATCCCTCCTGGGAGGGTGGGGAGGCCCTGGCACAGGTGCCCAGAGCAGCTGTAGCTGCTCCTGGATCCCTGGAAAGGGTTTGGAACAGCCTGTGACAGTGGAAAATGTCCCTGCCATGGCAGGGGTGGGAATGGATGAGCTTTAAGGTCACTCCCAACCCAAACCATTCTGGGATTCTGGGATGTCAGAGTGAGCTGATCTGTTTGAAAAAGCTGACACCACCTGTGGTTGCTGGGACCCTGGAAAATCCATCCTGCAGGCTCCACATGGACAGGAGATGCCCCAGGCATTTCCCACACTAATCCAGGGGCAGTGCTGGTGCATATCCTCTGCTTTCCATGAGAATTCCTCCATGTGGAGCACCCTTCATGGCTGAGGCTGGGCTGCACAGGGAGCTGAAGGAACAGCCTGATCCATTTGGTTCTGTGCATGTCCATATGGGAAAAAACCCCACGTGGGAACAGAGCAGTCACAGGTGTGAGCTCTGTCCTGTGGCAGAGCTGCCATTCCAAGCCTCCCTGCTCATTTCTCTTCCCAGAAAAGCCCTACATCACGGTGTCACACAAGAAAGGGCCTTACTACGAGATTACCTCAGGACACAAGTCCCTGAAGCTGGCTGCCAAGGTGGACGCCTTCCCTCGGCCCACTGTCACCTGGTGAGTGCCCCCAGCAGCAGCAGGAATGCCTGAGCTCCTCTGGGAATCCTGTCTGGAGCAGATCACCACCATTCCTTGGTGCCTGGAGTACCAGTTTTACATCCCACAGGTCAGGGATGGGAGCTGGGAATGCTCAGAGCTGAGCTCAGCTGAGGAGCTCTGGGAGGCTGGGCCAGCCACCTCTCATTCCCAGGCTGTTTCCCTCTCCTAGCCATGCAAGAAAGGTCCCTGCAGGGAAAAGGGGTGTTTCACTTTCCCTGGACACAGAATGATTTGGGAGATCCAGGGAAAAAGCTCTCGTGGAAGGGTTTCCTGCTTACCCCCAGCAGTGATGGTCAGTCTGCAAGGGGGCAGGGGATAATAGGAAAAGGAGATATTTTTAACATAAGAAATTCTTTCTCTCCAGAATTTTTAAATAATGTTCTCCAATCCTGTGCCAGCAGATCCTTGCAGTGAATCCTCCTGAGCTTAAAGGCTACACCAGGATGGATGGATCTGCTGAACAGGAGGGGAAACACAACAGCAGCTCCAGGAGACATTTGAGTCTCTCTTCACCTTTTCTTTATTTGTCCTCTCTCCTGCTCTGGCTTTAACGACCCCATCCAATGCCTTTTACATCTGTAAGTGCATTAAATCCCACGGGACAGCTGCCAGTCCTGGCAGAGAAGGTGGCATTTCCCTGGAGCACCTGTGCCTGGCCAGCCTGGCCAGCCTGGCAGCAGCAAAAGGCTGCATTTTATTAGCAGTGAAATAACATGAAATCCTCTAATTTCAGTGGAATCAGTGCCAGGAGGTGGTTTTAATTGCTGCTGTTATTTAGGGATGGGGATGTTTTAGGAGTTGAAGTGGGGACTGGCCCCTTCTCCCTGCCAAGCCTTTGTTCCTGGGCTCAGCATGGAGCTCTTTGGGGGCTGCCTGGGACCACCAGAGCTGCCTGCCCTTGGAGCCCCAGCTGTTGATGTTGGAGGTCTCTCAGGATGGTTGTTTTTATGACTGCAAAGGAAGTTTCCAGCATCCTCAGGCACTGGGAAATGCCCCAGCATCCTCCCACCAAGCCTAAAGCTCCGTGTGTGGCAAAGCCTGGCCTAACCATAAATCTGCCTGTGGGGTGTGCAGGGGTGAGGAGCCTCTCCTGCAGATGCTGCTCTCCTGGGGAATATTCCAGGCTGGGAATTCCTCACTGACTTCCCTATGCACCAACCTTCTCCAGGTCACAGAATTTAACTTTTTCAGAAGCAGTAAAGGCTCACAGAAGCCTCCTGAGAGACAATTCTGCTGAATTAATCTCTTCCTTTAAAACTGGCGACATACTTTTTGCCATTCCATGATTCCCCACACTTGGTGCTGCCCATCCAGCTTCATTTGGGGGCATTTGGATGATAGTTGAGCATGTGAGAGGCACTGCTCATTCAGATAAAATAAAACACCTTTATCCTGTGTGGAATTAATCCGTCCCACAGCACTGGAGATGCAAATCGGTTCTGGTGTGGAAGGATAGCAGGAATAAAAATCCAATCCAAGCAGTGATTTCAGACCTGCATTTCCCTTGCTGGGATGACCCTTTATCCCCCTAACGTGGGTGACAGGGTTTCTGAGGGTTGGCAGGGACATAAAGAGCCTTGATGGAACTTCCCAAACAGGTACAAGGATGGCAAACTGATCAAGGACAACCACACCTGCTACGAGCCAGATCCACTGAAATACAGACTGGGAATACGAGATGTGAGACCAAAACACGCTGGGAACTACACCATGGTCCTGAGCAACCCCAAATATGGCCTCTACAAGAACCTCACCATGCAGCTGGTGGTGACAGGTAAGGACTGGTTGTGTCTGCTTGGGACTGGTTGTGTTCTGCTGGGTTTTTTATCCTATTCTGTGTGATCCAGCAGGAATGGGTGGCACTTCCCAGGGTTTAGCACTGCCCAGAGATCACCACCTCCCTCAGGAACCACATTTCAGCTGCTCTCAGGAGTTGCTGCAAGCCTGGGTTGTTCAAATCTCTTCCCCTGGGCTGCTCCCACAGCCACAGCACCGAGTGCTCCACACAGGGAGGTGGAAATGCCTGGAAAGGGCACAAACTTCTCATTTTTATGGGAGCTTGGGAGGATATCAAGTAGAGAGGTCTTAGAAGTGGGGGTACAGTTTCCCAAGAGAAGGGCTGGAAGGTTTATCCCTTGAGAATTCAAAGCAGCTCAGGCAAAGCCCTGGAGAACATCTGCTGGGACAGGAAGGGTCCCCAGGGGCTGATGGAAGGAACTGGAGGAGCTGCCCTGGCTTTTATGTCTGTCCATCATCCTGCTCCAGATCCACTTCCTAAATCTGTATTTTCTGTTCTGTCACCTCTCTGCTGGCAGCACTTGAGGGACAAGTTCTTTTTTCAGGGGAATCTGGAGAAAACTGGGGTGTGCACTGAAGCAGGTTCACTTGCCATAGGGGGAAAATAGACATTGGAATAGACATTTATCAGCTTTCCTGGCTGGATAATGCAGGACAGAGCCACACTGACTCTTTGCACATCCACTGCCTCTTTTAATCCATTTAATTTAGAGATTGAATTATGAGGAGATCAGCAAAAGTTAGCTCTGCTTCCCCTTGGTGTTTTCCACTTGGGCAGTGAGTAGTTATTGAGACAGGTTTGCTCTCTTTTTTGTGGTGAATTCTTCTCTCCCTACCCTCTTTACACCTAAAAATATTCTCAGTTGTCCAATTTTTATACACTTATGTATTGTTGCTTCCAGCAGCTGTGTTTTTCTCATTTCACCTTTCAGAAAGAAATAATTCCTAAAAAAAATAGAGAATTTGTCACTTAGGTGCATCTGACCTATTCAAAATGTTAAATAAGATATGATAGGTTAAAAACTTGAAATGAGACATAAATTAATGTGTGATTTAGGAGAGGAGGGAACCAAGAACATGCTCATGGTCAGGTCCTGCAGCTCAGCTGAGCAGGAGGAACGTGTTAAGCTGCATAATTTGTCCACTTGAGATTGTTTTTGCACACAATGCTTTTGCCTCTTGAAAGAACGGAAACGTTCAGAGGAAGAGAAAATTCAGAATGATAATAAACTATCTTGTCAAGGTAAATATTGGTGTTTGTGTGCAGAAGGGAACGTTTCCTTGAGGAGCCGCCGTTCCCCAAATAGGCAACCAAAAACAAACAGAGCCTTTTTCTATCAGCAAGAGGCTATTTCAGGATGAAACCATCCCAGCACAAGCTTTTCATGTCCATGGTGTGTCCAAGCTTGGAGCATCCTGTCCCTCACACAGTGCTGCTCATCCCCAGCCTTTCCAGGGTCCAGCAAAGCTTCATCAGCAATAATTATTTAATTGCAACCACCCCAATTTCTCAAAGTCCAGCAGCTGCAGGGGTGTCCCCAACTGTCCTGTGGTGATGCACAGGAAAAACACAGGGCAAGTGTCCCTTTTCTGGTGACAGAAAGTCAGGGAATGAGAGCAGAACAGGGAAAGCCCTGCCCAGGGGTGCTGTGGGTGGGAGCTGAGGCTGCAGACAGGGAGGGTTTGCTTGGCTGTGGCAGGACTGGCACCCAGCAGCCAGGGAATTCTGCCATCCCTGCAGCACCCAGGGAATTCTGCCATCCCTGCCAGGCTTTTCCTGCAGCACTCAAGGAATTCTGTCACCTCTGCAGCACCCAGGGAATTCTGCCATCCCTGCAGCACCCAGGGAATTCTGCCATCCCTGCAGCACCCAGGAATTCTGCCACCCCTGCCAGGCTCTCCCTCAGCACCCAGGGAATTCTGCCATCCCTGTAGCACCCAGGAAATTCTGCCACCCCTGCCAGGCTCTCCCTGCAGCAGCAGCACCCTGATGTGGTCTGTGTGAAGCACTCAGCTCACTGAAATTCAGGTGGGTAGAGCCCAAAAAGGGCAAATTGGGCTCTTGAAGCTTCTCCAAAGTGTCCTTTCTCTTGTGCTTCCCATCAGAACACAGGGACAGCTTTTTCAGGAGCTGCTTTTTCAGATCTGGGCTTTCCTTTCAAGTACACTCTGAAGCTCCAAACTGAAAGCAAATTGGAATTTTTCCCTTAACTCTCCACAAATAACCTGGCACTTTATCTGCAGCCATCATGACTGATACCTGGCTATCACACCCAAAGGGATTAAATTGCTTGGAGTTTCAGCAGACTCTGAGACAACAGGAGACCAAAACACACTTTGTAGCCCCTTTCTGCAGGGATTACCTGGAAGAAACCACCTCTGAGCTGGGTGTGATTAATGTCTGTGCTCAGAACCAGAGGCAGCCTGCACTTACTGAAGCTGGGGTTTGAACACAGCCATTAGTGGGGCTGATGGAAAAATCCTCTTGGGCTTCAAGTGGATGCAGTGGTTGGAGAATCAGTTTTGCATCATGTCTAAAAGGTGGAGCCTGCGCCTGATAAACCTCCTGCTGAGTAATAACCATGTACCCTGAGAGTGAGGAGCAATTTCTGTTTGAATAACACCTTTGCTCCCCAAATCCAGGCCAGCCTTTCATTCCACTGGTGAAGCTAAGAAAGGGAGTGAGTTCTGATCCACACTGTTAAAGAGAAGAGGGAAAATTACATAAGCAGGCTTTGGAATGAGGAGATAAATGCCATTTGAGTGTTTTCTGTTGCTGCATGGGGACACTGCAGTGCACAAATGATCAGTAATCACACAGCCCCCTCTTCTGAGAGTCTCTTCACAGCAATTCATCATTAATGTGCCACAGGTACTCAGCTGGCACTCAGCCTGCTGTGACAAAGTCATCAGCTGCATATTTGGGCTGGGTGCAGAGGAAGTTTGAAGTTAAAATTGTTGTGAATTGTTTTTCACAAACAAAGTACAAACAGCAGCAGGGCTCGACCCTCAGATTGCTCTGTATTAATTTTGGCAGTGTGTTTTATTCCTCAGCAGAGGGGAACCCTTTAAGCAGGATGAGAACTAGATCAGAAGTTCCCTGCCTGAGCCCTGTGGGCAGCTCCTGCCCTGCCTTGCTGCAGCTTTCCTTGGAGTCACCTCCTGGGTATTCAATTGGGAGAAATCCCAGAGTTCTACCCCACTGTGGGCAGAGGGTGTTGTGGGAATGAGTCAAACATCAGGAGCTATTTCCCCCAAAGTTCGATTTGGCCACAAAACTGAGGAGTACCTGCAGAGGGATCAAGTGCAGATGGAGCAAAATGGGCTCAGAGCTGCAGGGTGGGAACTGAGAGGATAAGGTCCAGCAAGGAGCTGCCTGGCCTGGAGGAGAATTGTGCTGCTATTCCAAAAATTCCTCTGTAAGAAGTGGCTTAGCTGTGCCTCTGGTCACCCCTGCTCCCACTGCAGCTGGAATTTATTCTTGCAGGAGCACATATCTCCGTGTGGAGTCACCTTGGTTCATTGTAGGACTCAGGTCCCCAGGAGGTAGCTGACTGCATTTTCAAAATGCTCCTTCTTTATATATTTACACATCAAACACTGTCCAAGAAGCGGCGGGTTGCTGTGGTTTTGTTTTGTTTGATTAAATTCTTATTGAGAAAAGCTTCAAGAAAATAATGTCCTAAAGAATTTGGAAGGGAGGGAGCAAGGAGAAGGAACAATCCTAGCAAACAGCTGGTGGCTGAAAATCTGAGCCAGCCAAGAAGGAGAAATGTGGGAGAAAAGAGTTATTCCGGGCTGGAGTGCAAAGCAGTCTCAGAACAAAACATAAACAACCCCCTCAAATCTATTTCTGGGCAAGCAGACTGTGTTTCATCCTCACCCTTGTCCAACTCATCTGCGTCCATCAGGGCTCCTGCTGAGCCCTTTTGGAGCAGCCAGCGTGCTCTGGCCACCACCTAGGGAGTGAGGAGGGTACTGAAGCAAGAGTTAATTCAAAAGTAGGATGAATAAACTCCTTCAGCACTTTGCCTTTCTTCTTTGTCCCCAAGTTTCTCTCCTGTGCTCCCTCAAGCAAATATCGCTTTGGGTTCCAGCTGCTCCAGCCAGCTGAAGTTGTGTTCCCTCATAGAGTCCTTGGTCCCCCAAAGCTTATGTTGTGTCTGTAAGAAAAGCAGGATTAAAGGGCTGGAAGGAACCTCCACAGCAGGCAGCAGAAACTCAGGCTCCTGTGGATTCCCTTCCTGCTCCTGGGAAGGTCTGGAATGTGAGGGGTGTGTGGTACTGGTCACACCTGGGTTTGTTACCAGGCAGGAGCAGCCCCACAGCTCTGACTGATGCACATTGCCCTGCTCTGTAGTCAGGACAGCTCCTCATATTTTGGTTTAAAAATCAAAGGCAATTCTGTGCCTGACCTTCCTTGGCTTGCAAAGGATGAGTGGACATCAAAGGAGTCTGCAGTGATCTCCACAAAAGCCAAGAAATATGTGGTGATCCATGAGAACAAAACCCCATCACCTCCCCCTGAGGCAGAGCAGGGAGAGGGGAAGGAGCCTTGAGGATGAGGTTAATGCATCTGGGCTATGCCAGGGCAGAGGAAAATCACTTTTAGGGTGGGGGAATCTCAGCTACAGCCAGTGCAGGACACAGGGGACAGTCCCTTGTGTGTGGACTGAAATCCCTGAGCTGAACACTGAGAATTTTTTTTGATTTTTGGCAAAATCCAGCTGATGTTCAGGCTGAAGGACTGAGCCACACAAATGCTGTCCCTTCCCTGGGGTCCTGCCAGGGCTGGGTTTCCTTTGTGGAGCACATCCAGCTCCTGCCCAGCTCCTCGGAGGATGAACCACTCAGGAGAAATAAAAACAAAAAATCGAATTTTCCACCTCCTGGGCCAGCCGAGCTAAATTAGAAATCCCAAAATAAAACCCATCTAGCCACGGTTCCAGCGTGTTTCCAAGTTCAAGGCTTTGCTTT